GTTAACAAACGAAGTTTTTTAATATGTAATTTTAAGTTTTTAAACAATGCTAGTTAACTGTATTCTGTTGTTTAACACGAAAAATGATGTTTATTTACATGTTAGTTAACAAAATCTATTGTTTAACACAAACAAACGCTGTTTTAAAACATGTTGGTCAACAAAATTTGTTGCTTAACACATTGTTATACTAATTTTTCAACACGTTAAGCTATGAAGGGTTCGTTTTTCTATACTTTTGAGTATTAACTAATACTGTGCGTTAGTTAATATTTATTAAATGCTTTTAAAACTTCCTGATGTACATTATTAATAATTATTAATATATTTAATTTTTACTTAAGAAATAGAGAGGCAGGCTTAAATAAATTTTAAAAAAATTTAAAAAAACTTTTCAAAAATTATTTTAGCAAGCAAATTTGCCCACTAGATGGTTTAAGGAATAAATAAAAAATAAATAAAAAAAAACAAAAAATAAAAATAACCAATTTATCTCTTAAAATTACCCAATTGACCCAATACAACCTTTAAGTATCTAAATAAACCTGCTAAATAAAATACTTACTTCTGAATCTACTGCTTAAGTGGCATAAGCAGTATGACCCAGTGTATAAAATCTATGTGCACAATGTGCTCAGTGCACATGTTTTTGAAAAGTTTCATATATTTTTAGCCTGGAATGTGCGCATGATTCATTAACTTTTCAAAAACATAGTGCACCAAATTTACTAATAAAATATTAACTATGTGCACATAGAGCACATTATGCACATGATTAATAAATATACAGAATCTAATAAGATGTTGAGATTGAAAATATAATATACACTTTGTTTATTTCGTTCCTGGTGTTTATTGCACTCTGTGCATCAGCTCCCAGTAAGATAAATATTTAAATTTAACTAATTAATTGCAATTTAACCCAGAAGTATTTATTCGATTTGTTAAATATGTAGCTTAATGCAAATACCTTTATTTGATTTAATTATAACGGCTTATATAGATAAATAAATAATAGTAATATTTTTAAAATTGATTTTATAATTACATAAAATATGATTACATAATCTAAAATAGGACTATTAAGTGGACCGACTCAAACCAACAGACCAGGCTAGTCCTGTTTTTTTTGGGACGGACTGAAAGAACCGTTTGTTCTAATATTAGTTATTAAATTATTGTTATAGATAAGTATATAATAAAATATAGAGGAAATTACAAATAAGGGCCCAAAATAAAAATAATTACAAATAGAGGCCCAGTTTTTGACAAATAAGGACCCAAATATATTGTTAGTTAAAAAAGTCGGGTTAAACATAATAGTGTCATGATTAATTAGATGTTTTAGAATTTTGTTATATCAAATTTATTAAAAAATAAATAAATTGATTATTAGCGCAATTTTTAATATTAATACACAAGCCTAATTACATGTTATGGAAGCTATTTAATATTAAATAAAATTACATATAATATTTTCTATTTCTAAGTCTTCAACTGCATGTATGTGAATTATGACCTTTTTATTACAGTAATCTGATTTTCTGATGCCGTTTCTCCATGACTATGCAACTGAGTTTTTCGCCATCCTGCTTGTTTAATTGTAGGTGGTGGCAAAGTTTCATTGTCAAGAACACATGATTCTGCATCAACTAGTTAATGATGCTATAAAGGTTTGACAAGTTGAATCATGAGAAATCAACTTTATTATATAATAAAACCATCTTTGCGCTTGTTAACTGAAACAGTAAAAGGGCATGAACTATTTTCATTCGTAGGACAAACAGCAAGTAGCTTGTTTGGTTTGTTATTTCTAAACTTATAAGGTAAAGAGGATTTGACAGAGTAACTGTTCAAGGCTGAGTGAATGTTTTTCATATTAGTAAAAGTATTTCCATTTGTAATGTATCTAACATGATAATTGTTCTAAGCAGGTTTTTTAAAGAAATATTTAGTGAATTGAATGGATTAGAAGAGATAAGAAGAAGTACGTACATTTTTTATTACACATTTGAATTTATATTTAAATTACTAATTTCTTATCATTACATTTATATTATGTGTCACATTCAAGTCATTGATCGACGGGGCTTAATCATGAGTATTAGAGCACAAAAATTTTTTTGGGCTCTTATTTGTAATAATTTTCAAACATCAGGCCTCTATTTGTAATTATCATTTTGGTATAATATGTTGATGCAACTTATGTAGCATTTAATTAGTATAATAATCGGTCCATCTAGTCTTATACTATACTGATCAGTCTTAATTAGTCCTGGACTGCTAACTTTTTAAAAGACCATCGGTCTTTAGACTAAGACGGACTGATTAACAGCCCTAATCTAAAACCTGTAATATTATAATAATAATACAACAGAGTGAAACCTACGCAGCTAGCTAATAAGATTATCACATGAGGATGAAATCTGCTTTTACATAATAAAACACATAATCAAATATGAATTTCACCTAAACTTGATCTATGTAACAGATTTTACTAGTTAGCTGCACAGGTTTCACCCTATCATATGATAATAAATAAATTTAATGCGTACTGAAGTTCTTGTAACTATACCAAACTAAGTAGAGTTAGTATCCTAAGAAAGTTATTAATTATAGCACTATTATAATAATATATGAGACTATAAATAATAAATAGTAATAATAATACTTATTTGCGATTAGTGTGATCATAAATGAACTCAATAAACTCTGATAAAAAGTTTTGCTGTGATAAGTAATATAATATTCATATTATAATAATAATAATAATATGGTCTTAACCTAAAAAGAATGGTTTCATTGCAATAAATTTTATATTTTTAGAAGTGACTATTTTGACCTAAACAAGAATCGAATGTTTCACAGTTTTGAAAATGGATAAATTGTTTTTTTGATTATTTTGCATCCTATATTATTTTATAATAGCCATGTTTCTCATGAATTGTTTAAATATAGAAATTGATTGCATATATATTTCTAAATATTTTTTAGTCCTGTCCATAATAATAATAGTAATAATAACAAATATTTGTGTTGCTAAGTCAGATTTTAACTACAAGACTGCTGCTCCAAAACCTTCCTTGCAGTATATACGAACATATAAATTGTATGTGTGTATGATCATTATGTTGCACATCAACATATAAAAAAATAAATTATAGATATTGTGTCATGTTTGGCAAAGTTTGTTGCCATATAATTTCTATATACTAGTTGAATTTTATAATTTGGAATATTATTATAGTTTAAAAATACTAAAGTAACGAATATTGGTTTAGTAATTTAAAAAAACTAAAGTAACGAATGTTAGTAATGTAGAGTAAAAGATATTAACTATAAAAGATTGATACAGTTTAGAATTAATGAATGAAATATGAAAATAATAATAGATAGTTTTGATTTCTTTTTTTTACTGTAATTTTTATAAATAGAGGTTGACTTTTTTTCTTGTAAAAGTGTACTCAACACATATTAAATTTTTAAAAAATCAAAAGAGCCAACTGTAATCAAAGCGCTTTTACTTGTATAACTCTCTAATCAATTATATTTCTATACTTTGAATAACAGTACATGACATTCACGAATTCAAAGTAACAATTTATTACAGTTTCATTCTTCTTTGTGGTGTATAGTCTGATCCTAAACCCTATAATACAAAACACACCATTACAATACTAAATAATTGCTATTAGTATTTAGAAGCATTTATATTTTAGTCTTTTTTTATCTTGTAACATTATTATGGCAATGGAAAAATATATTATATGCCTTGACAAGCCTAGTCAAAAAGAAAAAGCTCAAAAACCTGCTCAAGAATCTGATATATCGGATAATTCTGTTGTTACTCAACAGTCTGAGTTAACTAGTAAAAAGCTCAAGTTGGGACGACTTGCTAAACAAAGCTTACGTTTCAATTCAGCATGGCGAAATCGATATCCATGGCTTGAAGATAAGAAAGTAGATGATGAAATTCGAATGTTTTGTACATGGTGTCAAGAGATTAATGCTAAAAATATTTTTGCACAAGGAGGATGTGAATGGCTTAAAGAAGAGTCATTAACATGACATATGAAGATTCATGAACATATTAATGCTGCTAAAGGCAAAGATATAAGGCAACAAAACTTGTTTAGTAGTTTTACAATTCAATATGAAGATACAAAAGCAAAAGCTTTGGCAAGCATGCGTAATATATATTTTTTATCTAAACACTATTTAGCTCTTAATATTTTCCCTGATCTTTGTAATTTAGTAAATTTTATACATTTGAATTATAATGAAATAACATATCAAAGACCACCTTGTATTCTTAATCCACCACATCTTCATTTAGAAAATAATAATAATTTTGATTCTACTAATGAAGAAAACTATGCAACTTACCAAAATCCTGTTGCTGGGTGCGAAATGTTAGAATATTTAGCTCATATAATTGAGAAAGATGTTATTTTAGAAATTAATAACTCGCTATTTTGGAGTATTCTTCTTAATAAATCTAATACAATTACAAATAAAAAAACACTTGCAATTGTATCAAAGCATTTTGCTAATAATATTCTAGTGATACAATATATTGGAATGATTTCATTAAATAAAACTACAGCTGAAGCAATTTTAGCAGATTTAGAATGCTTTTGTATTGCAAAAGGGCTTGATCTAACTCATTTAATTCATTTTGGTTCTGATAGTGCAAGTAATATGACTGGTAAGCTATTTATATATTTATTAAATTTATTAAACCTATGTTTAATATTAATATATATTATTTAATAATTTGAATTTTTAGGATTACATAATGAATTGGGTGCAAGACTAAGACGCAAAAATCTATTTATTTCAACTAATCATTGTATTGCTCATCGCCTTCATTTGGCTGCAGAAGATGCATCTAAAAATTTACAATACTTTATTGATTATGCATCAATAGTTAAAGGGATATATACTTATTGGTCTGCTTTATATAAGCAAAAAAACTCTTTACGGATTGTTCAAGATGAAAATATACATCATGAATTTTTATCTGTTTTAAATATTGTTGATACATGCTGGTTATCATGGGCAAATATTATTAACAATTTGCATCGAATATTAGATGATATTAAAGAAGCATTTAATAAAGAATCTACTTCTATTGCATTATATTTATATAATGCAATGGATGAACACTTTTTTCTTGTTATATATTTTTTAGCAGATATGTTTTATATTATTCGAAAGATGATTAATATATTTCAATCAAATTATGTTTCACTTGGTGAAATTAAAGTTCAACTATCAATGGCTATTGAAAGTATTACCACAACTTGATACACAGCTTCTTAATTTTATAACTAATAATAGAATATCAACATCTGAACTTCTACTATTTGTAACACAATATGCAACAAATATGATTACAAGTTTAAGAAACCGGTTTCCAGATTCCAATTTATACCATGCATTAAGAATTGTTGATCCACATAAAATTCCAGCTGAACAACATGCTTTAAATAGTTTTGGACAAAAAGAAATCATATTTTTAGGTAATTATTATGACAAAGATATTGAGAGCGAATATGGTCTCCAAAAATTAACAAAACTACATTGTCTGAAGAATGGAATTTAGCCAAACATTTAATTTTAAACTTTAAGCATTTTAATTTTGTTGAGGCTTGGCAACATATTTTAGAAACAACAAATTTTATTGATTAATTTCCGAATATAACTTATTTAGCTATTATTGCATTAATAGTTCCTTTGTCAAATGGTTATGTTGAACATGTATTTTTTTACCAAAATATGATCAAAACAAAATTAAGAAACAAAATGCTAGTTCCTACACTTAATGATCATTTGTTAATTGCTCTTAATGGACCTTCTATTGAAGATTTTGATTTAGAAAAAGCATATAGACATTGGGTTTCAAAAGAAAGAATAGCTTTATAATTTATTAAAGAATTGAATAATTTGTATAAAGAAATTTTTCAATCTAGTTGTAACAAAACCAATTCATTGTTAATAATTTTTTATTAATATAGCTAAAATAAATGATTACAATATAGGTTCATTAATTAATTCTTAATTAGTATGCATTATTTAATAATTTTTACTGATTGAAGAATGATCTATGCTAATTTTTAATATATTATTTGCATTCATTGAATAATTTTTATAAATATTTCTTTGTAGCAAATAAATTATTAAGTTTAATAAATAGTTCTATAAACCAATTATTTTTTTTAGATAAAATAACAAATCAAACTTGTTTAATTATTTAAACTATTTAATATAAAAAATTTATAGTGTACATATTTTAAATTTGCGTACATATTTTTATTATATTATAGTGCACTAATTTCACATAAATTTATTGTGCACTGTGCACAATATTCACATGTTTTGGAGTTGAGATTTTATACACTGGTACAATCGTCGTTTTTTGCTTATGTGATAAATGTAAATTTTACCGAAACTCTGTTCGGTTGTTTCTCGGCATATTGAGAGCCACCGTGGTTGGTATTTTTCAACTCTCCCAACAAACCAAGGATTGTTGTGGTTGTTTTTTCAGTTTCCCGACAGACTGTGAATTCTGTGGCTTTTGCGTTGTTTCAGTTTGAGTTCAAGCGGTAGATCTCAAGCTATAGGTTTGGATTGAAATTAAGTGGATAGAAAATATAAACGTTAGTGCATATTAACAAGGTTCAATGCAAGCTAAAGAGGATATACCTACGACCTAAATTACTCTTGCCCAAATCTAAACGCCTCTTATCGACTAAGCCAATCGTAGGTTACATGACGTCTCGGATTGTCAAGTGACCGACTCGCCAAATATCCATTGTCAATATGTAACATATTCATCAGTGCCAATTATTTTTAGCTGCATAATTACTTGTTATCATTACAACATCTGCAATAGCTTTAGTTGGGACGGGCTTATTGCTTACTGATTGGATCTCAAAAAATATTTAAAAACAATAATCTAATGCTATGCAATCATGAATATTGAGCAAAGGTTTCTTATTATACAGTTCAGTCAAAATGATCCTGTAAAAACGATAAAAATCAATCCATCGTAGTTTATCTCTATAATCTGCTATTTCTGTTCAGAAATGCAGTGTTTGTGTGGCATTTAGAGCCATTTCGCTTTGTTCATTCTTTGAGATTTGATTTGATTTTTTTTTTTTGTTTGTTTAAGTTTCGCCAAAAGAAGTATGCCTCAAAAAATGGTTTAGTACAACTGCCTCTTGATATAAGAAAGTCACCGGGTCCAGCCAAAAATCTTATTTATATTGAGATTTTCTTATATAAAAGGCATTTCATTATAAAATCCTCAATTTGGACTTATAGAATCTTTCTTATACCAAAAGGTTGTTATATCGAGAGTTACTTGTACTAGGTAAAAATGCTATACCCGAAAGAATCACAATTTCTGATCTTTATCAAAATAACTTAAAGTCTAATCTTTCACTTTTGTACCTATACGTCACTATCTCAAAAACTGGCTAATTAAGTGGCGTGGTGTGTCCTAAATAAAAATGTTCTATACCCTTTCAAACTCTAATCTTAAAATTTACGTTAAACAATTTGTATACAGACTTAGAAAATAAATATATAATGGATGCAAAACACATAGGCACGTTTTACAATAATTTTTTACATAAAAAAAAGATCTAAAAAAAATTACACTATAGAGTAAAAATCAGCGTAAAAATTTGACAGTCATTATTGCTGCCAAATCTAATTGTAAGCTACAAGTAAAGTTCGAAAAAAAAAAATAATAACTTGCGTGATAATTAGCTTTCGTTTGTTGAGTAAAACTACTCTATCATAACAGTTATTTTTCTTATCTGATAATTAAAAGAATTTTTAATAAAAAAGAATTTACACTATTTTTTTTTAAAAAAATAAAATCATTAAATTTTTTTTTTAAAAAAA